ATACAATTAATAAAGTATAATCTTAACAACATAAAAACTATATCTTTGTCAATATCTATTTCCTTAAAACATAAATCCTCAGTAAAGACGACCTAACCCTTCAACTTAAATAAATTTATGTTTATTTCTTTTATAGTTTACAACTTAAATTCCCTGTTAGCAAATAAGCTTTGTTATCCTAATGACGTAGTGTTTAGGCTTAATAACATAATTAGTATAATTAGGATTATTATTATTAGAATATAAAGCAAAAAATGTTGATCAGTCATTATAGATATTACATCATAATATTTAGGTTAAAGCGTAGTATTAACATTAGGGTTAGAATATGATATAAAGTTAAAATGTGGCATTGTGGCATTAAGTTAAAGGTTAGGGTTAGGATTAAGATTAGGAAATTCAGAAGGAAAAGTTTATTAGGAAAGCCAGTCATGGGCTACACAGCTAATGGCTATATAATATTTCTAATAAAGTTACATAAAATTAGGATTAATTCGTAGCATTAAAGTAAGCCACTTATGAATAATAATCAAAATAATGAAAAATCTCATATTTATTATATATTGTGAAACTATTAAATATAATATTAAACTCGACTTGATTTGAACTCAATTCAGCTTATCTAACTCGTGAGTTAACTCAAATTATTCTAAATTAAATGTAAATGTAATATTAAATTAAAATAAAAATGCTAAGCTCAAAAAAATTAGAATGTGATAGCATGATATTCACTTCAAACGTATAATGATTCTGTTACTTAGTATATTTTATTATTTTTCTATTATTTAATAAAATTTTTACAAAGAGTATGTAAGATTTCTTATAGTTTAGTTTTCTAATATAGAATTTATATCAATCTTCAATTTTATATAAAGAAAACAAATAGTTAATAAATCTATTTATAATAATAGACAAACTAATAGCATAATAGATATTTAACTTTTTTGCAATTTTATTAGTTAAATTTTATAATAATCATTTTTAAAATATTATATAATTAGTATAAAATTGATCATTATATCATTTACTAAAAATAAAAAGACTAATTTTTCTTAGCATTTTAGTTATTAAAAGTGTTCAATTAAATTTTTGAGAAAGACGTTTATGGACTATAGACAATTGGAAAAAAATAGTATAAAGTGATAAGTCTCAATTTACTATGTTTTAGAATGATGAAAAAATTAGAGTTTGATGTTTTCAAAAAGAAAATATGACATTAATTACCTTGTTTCAACTATGAAGCATGGTGGAGGTGGAGTCATGATGTGGAGATGTTTTTCATAATTTGGGTTAGGTCCTTTGGTAAAAATTGATGGTTGAGTTAATAGTCAAAAATATATAGAAGAAATACTTGGCTATCATGTGATCTCTTTTTTGAAAAGTTTTGAAGAAGAAAATGGTGATTATTTGTTTCAACAGGATAATGCATCAATCCATACCAGTGCCAGGACAAGAGATTTTTGTGAAGAAATGGAAATAAATCTGTTATCATGGCTAGGACAGAGTTTTGACCTTAATCTCATTGAACATCTGTGAGACTTGAAAGACGCATAAGAGCAAAGCAAAATAATCCTAAAAATTTAAGAGAATTGGAGGCACTTCTTCAAGAATGTTGGTCAGAAATTTCATGTGAGGTTTACCAAAAGCTTGTAGAAAGCATGAATCGTAGAATAGTGGCAGTTATAAAAGCTCATGAATATCCTACGCGATATTGAGTAATTTTTTTATTATATTTTTACAAAGTAAGTGTTATAAATTAATAATTTTTTTTTGCATTTTTACTAAAAATTATGCTTTTTTTTATTGAAAAATTTTAATACTAACTTAGTTTTTTATTTTATGGTGTTATAGGCTGAGAAAATTTTTTGTTATGTTATATATAACAAAAAGTTTGATAAAAAATTTTTTTTATATATTCGAAAAATCACGTAATATAAATATGGATACGTGACCATACGTGAAATGTTGGTTACTAAATTACCGATAGTTTTTTTTTTTTATTTTTAATAATAAAAAATTGTTCTTTATTCATTAAAATAATCATAAAAGATTTTTTGTAGTTTAATAAAATGTTGGTTGATTTAAAGACCCATTTATTTTATAATTTATCAGGTGGTCCTAAACTTTTGGCGCGGGAGTGTAGCTATGCTTCCCTTACGGAACAATCATATCGGTACTCGAGACCAATAAAATTAGTCACAAGGCCTGTCATGCCTCTTGCACGATCTTCTAATATTTCAATAATCTTGATTTAAAAGAATCGCATTTAAAGTTTCAAACCTTTATATTGGGTCTTTTGGTTTGGATTTGGCCTTCAAATAGTTTGGAGTTTATCTTTGCCTTCGCTATGTGTGTGATCTGATTTTGAAATTTTCAAAATCTATCATCCAGGTGTGATAGATTCTATCAATTCTCGGCTGCACTACTCTTTATGGATCAATAATCGTTCTGGCTTCTCGATTCAACAAGCCACTACCTTCGTAAGTTGATTTTATTTATTGCTTTCTGATCTTTGGTCTTGTCACAATTGTCCTCGTATAATTATAGTAGTAGCAATTATTGATAATGTAATAGATAAAATATATGTATATTAAATAATGTTTCCATGATTATTTTTAAAAATTATTATAATGTAAATAAAGTTTCTATTAAATTCCGCGATAACCAAATGATTTATTTTTTATTAATTTTCTATTCAAAATTAAAAAAATTTTACGCGATGCTTTCAATAAAATAAAAAAAATACTAACAGCCAATGTTATAATGAGGTTACCAATCTGCATTAATTACGTTTAATAATTTATGATCACTACAAAAAATAAAAGATGGTGATCAACCAATATTTTATATTTTGATTTATTTTTTTTTATTCAAAAATGCAGGTAAATAATTTTAATGAAGTATTAATTACCATAAACCTTACTAACTTAGTTTTTGAATATTCAAAAGATCGTTGAAAAGAGACATGCACAGCTCTCAAATTATGAAGTATTGGCACTTCTTCGTGAACTGGATGAAAAACAAAAAGAACAAGCACGAATTAACCCACAAATCAAATTTGCAGAAAATCTAAAAACCATTCAATTTGAGGTATAATTCAATTTTATCGACTGATTCACTTATACTTAAAAAGGCCAGTAACAAAATCTCTTATAAAAGCAGAATAAATAAAAATGGAACTTCAGGCTTGTTCACCGATTCCCTTCCCGAGCCTAATCATATTATTATTATTATTTCCTAATTGAAGGTTATACAAAATCTAAAATCACCACAATCACCAGCAAAAACTCAAACTCCTGAACAAATTGAATCAATTTTATTTGAATTAAAGAAGTATAATTTAACTAAATCCGAAAAATTACAGATCATCAATTTGAGACCACAAAGCATTGCCGAACTAGAATTGGTAAATGAGATCTATTCTTTAAAAATCTTATACTCCTTGATTATTAAATTCTTTTTGCGAATGAAGATTATAGAAGATTGTGAAGATCGATTCCCAATGGAAACACTTCGGGAAATGATTTATTTGATTGGAACTAACCTACCAATGCCGGGTAAGGTTGTACGTCGCTTGGAAAGTGGTAATGAACCCTTAGAAGATGATGAGGTGTTGACATTTATTCATTACGAGGCAGATCCAATGGAACAGTAAATATGAATTGTCGAGAACAACTTAAATTTACGAAAACAGTATACACAAAAACTGACTCTTTTTTTTTTTCGTTTTCATTCGAAATCAAAATAGAATTCACTAATTAATAGACCAACAGATTCTTGAAGTATTTTGGCTTCGATTCACGCGTGTTATCTAAGAACTTTCAAAGCTTAAATTAGGTAAAGATATTGTTTATTTCAATTCTTTGTTACTTGTTAACTCATCTATTGGATTGAAATATTGACAAAATTCGTAATGATAAACAGGTAAAACAAATTTAAGAGCGAATTGATTGAAGGAGATTATTGATTTTGAATTAGAAATATCATGTAAACTATTTGGCTATGCAAATTCAATTGAATGCCCTATTTATTAAATTACATTATAGAAAATTACATTATAAATGACAAAAGAAAATAAATAATTAATTATCTATTAGTTTTTTAAATTGCAAATTATTCTATATTCTCTCAAATTCTAATTGATCGAAAGAAAACTTATGTTGTAAACGATGTATCAAATTAATTTATAAAAATAAATAAATATATATATTACAAGATTAGCACTTTACCATCATCATATTTATCAATTATAAATATGTATAAAAGTCTATGATCAATTAGAAATATCACCATGGTAAAGACTCCTTTCGTTTCATCTGATTCATTGGATTGAAATCATTTGGTGATAAAGAACCATTCGAATAGGAACGATTTCCTTGATTACCATTATCCAATATCAATTCTTTTACTGGTGGAAAGGTGGCCGATCGAGTTGTTATCGGTATTGAATCGAGCGATATCATTGAATCAACTGAAATTTTAAGATTGCGTCGCCTACTATTCTTTGTTTCTTCGTGATATGCACGAGCGCATTCCTGTAAATGTGCTTTCAGCTCCATTGAATATGAATAGTCCAATGCAGTCCATCCGGATTTATTTTTGCTGGCAAATTGACAACCACGTTCAATTAGCATCGTTACCACCTTCGATAAAAAGAATAAGGTTACTCATTATTGTCAAACCAAGATGAATCGAATAAGTATAAAATATTTACTTGAAAATGATTCCAGGCTGCGGAACTAAGATTAATAAAAATTTTATTTATATAATGTTCATATCTATTAAACCATCAAAGGATCATATTAAATAAATAATTACTTACTAATGTAAGGCGGTGTTTCCATCAAAATCTGCTTGATTGACTTCTGCACCAATTTCCAATAACAACTAAATACAGTTAAAGTTGTAGAATATCAAAAAAAAAGAATCATACAAGAAATTGTTATTTTTCTTAAAGAAGAAAGAAAAGAATAGCTACTTTAATCGCATCGAGATTACCAAGTTTGGAAGCAATTATTAAAGCTGTTTGTCCTTGTTTATTAACCATGTTGACACTATGAGGATAATATTTAGTATATATTTTCAAAATCTGAGAAATTCAAAAAAAAAAAAAAAATTTTGTTTTTTAATAATGATTAATGAAAATATTTAAATTGGAAGAATTGACTTTCATTTCATATTCACCTCCAAAGCATTATATTCTGCAGCTACCATTAATATAGTATTATTCTCAAAGTCCTTAAAGATATTTGAGTGTCGTGTTAAAATTTTCTTATTCGTTAAAGAAAATAGGTTTTAAAAATGTTACTAAACTTACTCTGGAAGGTTCTAATTCATCATGTCCCAGTTGAAGTAGATATTCAACAACATATTCATGTCTACAACGTGTAGCATACATTAAGGTCGTCCTTTTGGAAAAAATTAAGTGAATTTACTCGTTTTTTGTAATTTTTACAAAAAGAATGTTAAAAAATGATTTGAGTTTCATACCATCCATTTTCAGGATCTGGATTTTGCATGTTCGTTTTCTTAAGAAGTCGTTTAATAAGATCGAGGTTGCCCTCACAGGCGGCCCGCCGTAAACGTAAACGGGGATCTTCTACTGGCATTATTTGTTATCGTTTCTTGAAATAAGTCAAAGTTTATCTTTGAAAGCTGAAAAAAAAAAGAATTTTAAATTTTTTAATTGACCTTGGTAAATGATCGCAATATTTGAAATATTGTTAATAAAACATCATTTCTATTTATATTTCATTTCCCCGCCAAAAATCTGCAAATGTTTATTTATTTGTTAACCATGGTAATCAAAAAGTTTATTTAGGATATTGAATAAATTACTTATTTATATTAAAGGTAGTACAATATATTTTTTCAATCGGAAAATAACCCTATTTCTTTTTCAAATTCGTCTTTATTAATTTTTCCCTTTTTAAATTTCTTTGCCAATCGTTCCTCTTTTTGTAATTCTTCCCACTCATCATCATCATCATCATTCATATCGTCTTCTTCCATATTATCGATTTTATTTGAGCTCATCATATCATCTGCCGTTCTTTTTTTAAGAAATTCTTTCTTTTTGGCTTTCTTGACTTTACGTTCTACTTTACGTTGCTTTGCTAATTTCTTAGCAGACCAAGGACCCTTTGGGAGTAGTTGTCGTTTATGCCTTTTATCTGATTGTGTGGCAGATTTTAATTTTGCTTCGGTTAATTTTTGCCTTCTCTGTTTTTCACGAGACTTATCAGCGTATTTATATTCATCCATCTTGAAAACAAATGATTGTTAATATTGGATGAAGAAAATGAACAAGCAAAATATGTTTAAGACATACATTTATAGGGGTTTCTTCGAAATCATCGGATTTGTAATCTTTTAGCTCGGGCATTTTCGGTAACTAACATTATTAATAGCAATTATTCATTGATTATTAAACGTTTCAGAAGTAAAAAAAAATTATTAATATCATAATTACCCGTAGTAAACCGTAACCTTTGGCAACCTTGCCCAAGTTTAAATCTTTCAAGCGAAAGATGTAACTAGCATCATGCTTTGTATATGAACGAACGTATGAAACGAAAGCTTTTATACCCTATTAAGAAAGCATTTCATAATAAGTATAAACATATTTTTAAAATGGTAATTCATTTTCACAGATTACCTTGTCATGTAAATCTCGATCCGTTAAAATGATGTCTCGAACTTGTTTCAGAAGAACCTCGTTTTCTTCATCAACGACGGGGTCTTGCGTTGTGATTGAATCAGGTAATACATAGGAAAGTTGTCGTAAAGGGATTTTTCGAATCTTCAAAAAATCTAAATTGCAATACAAATTATACAAAATATTTTAACACAAACAATAAAAAATAAAGTTGACAAATTCATCAAATGGGTAATAACGTACCTACATACACTTCCTCCCTTCCTCTTACCAATAATACGATTGCCTTGCCTTCTTTTCCAGCTCTTGCAGTTCTGCCACAACGATGAGAAAAAACTTTTGGATCTTGAGGCGGATCCATTTGTATGACATAATCTACATCAGGCATATCTAATCCTCGTGCGGCGACATCGGTACACAATAAAAGTGCTTTTGATGTAGTCGGAGTGTTAAGAAATGAATGATAGGTGGCCGTTCGTCTCTTTGTATCCATTTGTCCATGTAATGAATGAATGGATGCTCCTTTTAATTGTTGCACCCTCGATAAGATCTAAATCATATGTAAAATAAGTCATGAATTTTCCCGGTGAAAAAGGAAAAAAATTAAACAAAAGATACGCATACCTTATAAAAATAATCAACACAAGCACAAGTAGCAAAATAGACAATATATTTTTTTGCGATCGCTTCCTGATTGATTATTCGTATTAACTGAATTAATTTTTGATGCGGTTCACATACAATGTATCCAATATCCAAACTTTACAAATATTATAAAATATCGAAAATCACATAAATAACTTTTCACATGAATTTTTTGTATGGTATAAATATGTTATATCCTTACGTTGCTGGTGTCCTCAATTCATCCTTTGAAATTATATCTTGAACCCTGACAACAACTCTCACTGGATTCCTTAATCCTGCACGAACGATCTCAGAGATCGCATCAGTTATCGTTGCGGAGAATAGTCCAGTTCGCCTTTGTTTGGGTAAATGTGCAATGATATTATTTAAAGTTTGCGAGAATCCCATATCCAACAATCTATCAGCTTCGTCTAATACTAATATCTCTAATTCTTTTGTATTCACCACACTTTTCGCATTTCCTCTACCGATGATTAAATCTTGTAATCGTCCAGGAGTTCCTATAAGAATATCCGGACCCAATTCCTTAAATTCGGTAATATCATCTTGAAGTGTCGTAACACCTCCGATGATGAGTGCATGCTTTGGTAAAGAAGGATCTTTCAGAAATATGGAAAACACTGATGATATTTGCTGTGCAAGTTCTCTTTTTTTTTTTTTTTTATTGATTTATAAAATATGAAAAGTTTAATGGATAAACATAATATATATAAAAAATCAATTACAGGATATAACTGAACATTAAATCAACCTTGTAGGAGTGATGATCAAAGCACCTATTTCATTACTTGCTAGTCGTTTTTTTCGATAAACTAATTTTTCGATTATTGGAATAACGAATGCAAGAGTTTTACCAGAACCTGTCACTGCCTATTTCAACAAATACTTTTTTTTTTTAAAAAAATAAAATAAAAATATATATATATATATTAATCCAATTCAATGATAATAACACTTCCTAATATACCTCAACCATTACATCCTTATTTTTCATAAACAATGGAATGGTACTTGCTTGAACAGGTGTCATTTTTGAAAAACCTAAAGTTTCCAAAGTTTCCAAACTAAACGGGAATAGAAAGGATATTATTAATATTTGCTTATCAGCATTAATGAAATAATTACGAGCAACTGACTCACGTGAAAAGACTCAATTTAGGTTCTAAGGTGTTCCAAGAACCTGCCTCCGTAAATGTCGCAGACATGTTTGAAGACGAATGATGCGTCTTAACGTAAAAACTTTCTGATCTTTTTATGTAGATATAAATGAATATGATTGGTTTATAATTGGTGTAACGTAAAACCGGAGAAAATATTTTAAATTTCTTTTTTTCACAAATCAAAAAACGTTCCTTCTCTTTAAATTTTGCATTGAAAAGGTTTGTATCAATAGTAATTTTATCAAATCTATCCGTTTACTTTTAAGAAATGAATCATATGATGAATTTTACATCGCGAAATACCCAAGTGTAACAAATTAAAAAATATATTTAACATTAAATATGATGATGTAATTACAGATAAGATAGCGAAAATGCTTATTCCAAAGAAAAACCGCAAAAGTATCTATGAAAGTCTTTTCAAAGGTAATATTAATCATAATTACAATAATTGGCTTAATTTTTTCTTTTTTATTTTTTCGATGAATTAACCAAAGCTTATTATATTTGGTGATTTATAGAGGGTGTTTTAGTTGCAAAGAAAGATTTCAACGCTCCAAAGCATACGGATATCGACGTACCTAATTTACACGTGATCAAAGCTTGCCAAAGTCTCAACTCCAAAGGATATGTTAAGACACAGTTCTCATGGCAGTATTATTATTATTCCTTAACAGATAAAGGTATTGAATACCTAAGAGAATATTTGCATTTACCCCAAGAAATTGTTCCGGCTACTTTCAAGAAACAAGCTAGGCCTGCCGGAAGATCTCGTCCTGGTATGTTATTAATCATGGGACTTGCGATTATTCTTTAATCAATTCATTGTTTATATTAATATTTTCATGATCTATTTTATATTAAAAAAAAAAGAGGGTGAAGGTAGGGAAGGATCCTATCGTCCCCCAGGAAGTCGTGGTGACCGCGGTGAATACCGCCGTCGTGATGATGGTGAAGGCAAAAAGGAAGGAGCATCTGGCGACTTCAAGCCTGAATTCAGATCCGGTTTTGGTCGTGGTCGTAAAGATTAAAAAAAAATTTATTTATTTCTTTTAATAATAATTGACGTTTGGTTCAGAAAAAACTGGTTAAATGAAACACGTAAAGGAGGAATTTTCTTTGTAGATGGATAAGATAATAAATTTATTATATTCTAAGTTGATAATGATGCACGCTTGGATCAATAATTTTATATTATCGCAAAAAAAAAAAAAAAAAAAAGATAATAAAAAAAAAGAAATCATGTAATTTTTTAATGTCTTTATGGTGAAGCGCAAAAAAAAATTTTTTTTTTGAAATGTCTATTAGTGAAATTGGGCAGGATTTATTCACAGACATTTTATTTATCTAAATTGTGTCTTTA